TATATATATATATATATATATATATATATAAATAAATATATAAATATAAATATACATATAAAAATTGACATTTTTAAAGATATAAGCTCATCCCGATGTTACACTCATCGAGACCTTCCATTTGAGTACCCACATCAATTTTTCATATATTTATATATATGAAAAATATATCAAAAATGCATGTAGATACTCAAATGAAAGGTCTTGATGAGTGTAACACCAACATGAGCTTATATTTTCAAAAATGTCAATAGTTAAGAAAATACAGTGCAATTTAACATAATTAAGAAATGACCTTACGTCTTGTAAACTATTGACATTTTTAAAGATATAAGCTCATCCCGATGTTATACTCATCAAGACCTTTCATTTGAGTACCCACATCAATTTTTCATATATTTATATATATTACATATATGTATATATGAAAAATATATCAAAAATGCATGTGGGTACTCAAATGAAAGCTCTTGATGAGTGTAACATCATGATGAGCTTATATCTTTATAAACGTCAATAGTTAAAAAAGTACAGTGAAATTTAACAAGTCATTATTTAATAAAGCAAAATTATATTTATTTACAATTGACAAGTCACGGCAGTTACATAGTGACTGCAAGGTTGCTAGTATATATATATATATGTATTTATATTTACATATATAATAAAAAAAAAAAAAACTTACCAATACTTCATCCCGATTCTGTTGTAACTTCCAAGCTATAATCGGATCAGAATCATAATTCCTCCTTACAAGCTCAGCAATCATCTCCTTTTTCTTTTTATTCTCCACAATTAAATCCCCATCGCATTTCTCCAAAATAAACCTAGCCTGATTAGTCAACTTAGCCGCTTCAGCTTGCAACATAGCCATCAAATAATTCTTCCTCTTATTATACATCTCAAGTCTCAATTTATAAAACTCCCTAAAGATCTGCATAACCGTATCATACTTCCTCAAGCATTGATTTTCATCAAATGCACACATAGAAGTAATAGGCATAGTAGTCTGAAGTTTAAAAACTTTGTGAAGTCCATCTCTCTCCAAGTCAACCAATTTGTCTCTATTGATACTAATCACAAAATGGACATCAGTATCAGTGTGATACTCTTTGTAATCAGTGATTAAAGCCGGTGACTTTTCACTGCCATTCAACATGGGCTCCAATACAGCCTCTTTGTAAGTCTGCGTCCAGGTCCCAATTGGTAATTCCGTAATCTGAATTTTTTCCGGACCAATAACAGAAACTTCTCCAGAAATAACATACCGGAACTCTCCACAGGATTCAATAGTCCCTTTAAAATTTTTGTAAAAAGGCTTCATAGGCTTGGGCTCATTACCGTCCATCATTCTGAATAAATTATCAATTATTTCTCTGGGATTGTAGTTGGGAATTTTAGTCATCCAGCCAGTGCCGATTCCATCAGCTCCATTGACAAGAATCATCGGTATCACGGGGACATAATTAACCGGTTCTATTTTTTTATTGTCATCATACTCGTGCTTCAACAACGCATCATCATGCTTATGAAAAATAAATCTCGCTAACGGACTGAGCATCGTAAAAATATAACGCGCGCTAGCGCAATCTTTTCCTCCATTTAATCTAGTTCCAAATTGACCACGTGGTTGGAGTAAATTAATATTGTTAGAGCCAACAAAATTCTGGGCTAAATTAACAATAGTAGTCTGAAGCGAGACTTCTCCGTGATGATACAGCGTCTTTTCGGCAACTGCTCCAGACAATTGAGCCACCTTGACTTCACTTTTATCATTCCTGATCAAACAAGTGTAAATTACTTTCCGTTGACCTGGCTTTAGCCCATCAACCATACTCGGAATTGAACGCACGTTGTCGTAATTACTGAAAAGTACAAGCTCAGTGTTGATAAAGTCCGTGAAAGAAACAGCTTTGGTGTCTTTCTGGTACAGAAATTTTTCTCCAAGGCCAATTTCATTCCGGCGTTTTGTTTCTTCCATAAAATTAGTCAGCCATTCTTTTCGTTGGTCAACGCATTTTTTACTGAACGCCATAATAATATTTTCGTCATCTTGATTACCGTCGTACCTAAATTTAATTCGGTGCCTTGCCATGTCACTGAAGTACTCTTTAGCTTCAGCAGAGGTTGAAGTTCCCAAACCCTTGTAGTACTTAGGCTTCCACAAGTGCGAATTAGGAGTCTCTTTTTTCCACTCTTCATACTCAGGCAGTGAAAAAAATGAAATTTTCTGAGACCCTTTTTTAACTTTAACAATAGGAGTGATAAATTCCTCGACAAATCCCATTCTTAGCAAAGAAGGCCAATTATGATGGATAAAATTTATCAACAAACCCTTAATATGCGACCCATCGTGATCCTGATCTGTCATGATCATAACTTTACCGTATCTCAGTGTCTTTAAATCATCCCTAGTCTCGTATTGTTTTTTATACTGAAGCCCCAAAATTTTAATGATATTATTAATCTCCGTATTTTCTAAAATTTGCTTGTGAGTAGCTTCCCTGACATTTAGCAATTTACCACGCAGTGGGAAGACTCCGTACTTGTCTCTGCCAATTATAGCAAGCCCGGATATGACCATAGTCTTAGCGGAGTCTCCTTCAGTAAGAATCAAAGTACAGTCGAGTGATTTAACAGTTCCAGCATCGTTAGCGTCTTCAAGCTTGGGAATTCCCTGGAGCTTTCTTTGCTTGGACTTGGGTCCAAGCTTCTGCAATTGAGTGTCAGCTTTGAATTTAGCCCAGGATAAAACCGACTCTACAATTCCTATCTTAGTAATTGCGGTGATGAATTTTTCTCCCAGCGCGCACTTAGACCCAAAAGATTTCTGCTGGAGGGTCATGTGCTCTTTAGTCTGAGAATCAAATGTTGGATTGTTGATAAGACAATTTATAAACACCCACATGTGGTTTTTAATTTGGAAGGGTTTTATTGTAATTCCGCCCTTGTTTTTCTTCTTTAAAGTTTCAGTGAGGTTTTTTACTAGCGCGTCGGTGACATGGTCAACATGTCGCCCGCCTTTTGTGGTCGCGATACTGTTAACAAAGGACATTTGTTGGAAGCCTTTATCGGAAAGAGTAACAGCGACTTCCCAGCGAGGTCCGCAATTTTCGTAAGCTACCTTCAGAGGATTGCCAGCATCGTCTTCTTTTCCTTTGATGTACAAGTCGATGTAATCCTTGAAAGTTTTTACAGGTACTCGCGTGCCGTTTAGATAGACCTTGACGCCTCGAGCTGATGCAGCGATGTCGTAAGCACGACGAGACATTAAAGCTACAATATCATTATCCAAAGCCTCCATTTTGAACTTTGTAAGATCTGGGGAGAAAGTTACTTTAGTAAAATCTTCCCCGAAGAATTCTTTTATTCTGGGCTCGCTAGCTTTGCTCATATTGTTGCCCCAAGTTTGCTTGAGGGATTTTTTGTACTCTTTAGAGGCAGTCTCAACTGTGAAGCGGTGACTGAATATGTTGCAAAGTTTAGCTCCGTACCCGTTTCGACCACCAGTTACTTTTTCTTCTGCATCGTCGTAGTTTGATGAAGTTAAAAGATGCCCGAAGATCATTGTGGGCACGTACATGTTCTCCTCTTTGTGGATTACTACCGGGATTCCCTTTCCGTTGTTCCACACGGATATTGTGTTGTTCTCGGCGTCGATGTCTATTTTTATGGAATCCATTTTGGGGTCGCGTTGTTTGTTGTCTGCGGCGTTGACTAGGATTTCGTCGAAGATTTTGTATAATCCCGGGACGTATTTAATCTCTTTTTGAACCATCATTTCTTTCTCTTTGTCGAAGACCCACATGAGCTCGTGCACTGGCTCGACAGAGCCGATATATGTGTCAGGACGGAGCAAGATGTGTTCCAGTTGGGACTTCTTTTGGTAAATACCTTCGATGGTTTTCTTTTTTGCGGCATCGCCGCTTCCATTTTCTTTGCTCATTGTTGAGATTTTTCTTGTAATTCTGCAAATTTTATTAAATTACTTTATTAATTATTTTATTACAAACTAAAAATATTTTTTAAAAATTGCACTTAGAATTTTTTTAAATTTATACAAGTGAAATTTTTTCTTTTAATTTTTTTCAACGAAAAAATTCTAGAAATATTTTTTTTTTTTTTCACGTCGTTTATTAAATGATTTTTATCTGTTCAATTAATTTTTAAATTATTTTATCACAAACTAAAAATATGATTAAAATTAGCAGAAAATTTTTGATTTTTTATATTAATAAAAATTATAATTAAAAAAATATTTTTATAAAAATTGAACTTAGAATTTTTTTAATTTTCTACAAGTTTAATTTTTTTCAATAAAACAATTCTAAAATTTTTTTTTTTTTTAGTCTATTGAGTCATTTTATCTCTGTTCAATTAATTTAAATAAATAAAAAATTATTTTAATGACATTAGTAAATCATTAATTAATAAATAGAGCTGTTGTTTTTTTCAATTACGCCAATCTATTTATATTACTTGAATCAAAATAAATTATTCAACAAATATATATATATATCATACAATTTTACATAACAATATTTACGATCATTAATTCATTATTTAGTTTTTATAAATTATTAAACTTGATGAATTTTATCAAAAAAAATAAATTTCACAGTAATAAACTATTTTTAAAACATCAATAATTATTTATATATATATATATACCTAAACACAATTTGAATCGCTCGGCGTGACAAAATGGTCATCAGTTTGGTTATAAGAACGCCAATTTAATTTATCACTACTTTGCTAATAAATGTCATTTTTATTTTCTACTAAATAGTCAAGCTTGTAAATAATCTAAGAATAATTAATTAAAAAAAAATAATAAATTGAGAATATTAATAGGAAACTAAAATAAATTCTTTGTAACGTTTTCGCGGCAAAACATATCGTTGGCGTCCTTAATGGAAATAAAGCTAGATAACAAATGAACTCGCCAAGTTTACTTTAAAAAAAAATTAAACTGTAGGTTAGATGTAAATTATTACCTTTTTAATATTAATAGTCACGTACAAGTATTATGAGTTTGGACAAACACTTATTTTGATGTAAGTAACATCGTTGATGAGAAAAAAAATTAATTTTTATTAAAGTACTCTACTAAGCGTTCTGTGTTGAGTATACAGAGGTATAAATTTACTTTTTTTTTATTTTCACAATGAGGCTATGAAGCCAGCAGGATGGCGGCAATCATCCACAATCATCAATGTTTTGGCGCTAGATATGATACTGAAGTTAGCTGACTGTCAATTATTTTTTTATTTGTTAAAATAAATGACTTTTTAAAAAAAAAAAATTTTACAAATTTTCATTAATTAATTTTTTTTTGTTTTATTTTCCTTATTATAATTTTTTTATTATTAAATTTAATTATAAAAAATAATTTATAATTTCTATCAACTTCAGCGTCATCGTCATGTTCATTTCCAAATAAATTAGTTATTTTATTTGACCACAGAGGGCGCTTAGAAAGTATTCATATAATCCCGCCTTAAAGTGGCGCTTCAGTCTGCTTTTGATGAAAATCGTTTTAAGTCATAAATAGCAACAGTAAAACACATGTCGCGTGTTTTTGTCATTTGAGGTTATAAGTACATGTGATTTTTGACAAGTTAAAACAGATTTTAATTTATAAAAAAAAGAATATTGTTTATATAAATTTATAAAAAATGGCTGAGCACTCTGAAGAAGAATCTACTGAAAATATTATTGCAGTAGAAACTACTGCAATTGAAGAAAAACCAGTTACTTGGAAAGATTTGGTAAGTACATCTAATTATTATGATACTAAAATTAGCCAATTTTTTATTAAAGTATTGTTTATTAAAATAATAATTATTATTATTTATTATATATTATTTTTTTAATAATTAAATTAGACCTAAAAAAATTAGACGTATAATTTTAAAAATTTTTTTTTCAATAAAATAAATTTTCAGATGTCAGCTAATTTATTTTTTATAAATTATAAATTAATAAATTATTTTTTATTTTTAGGGTCTTGTTGACTCACTTGTTAAAGCATGTGAAGAATTAAAATGGCCTGCACCAACAAAAATTCAACGTGAAGCCATTCCTCTGTCTTTAGAAGGTAAATTTAATTATTTAACAAATGATACTATAATTAATAAGCTTCTAAGTATCAATTTTTTTAATTTTTATTACAACAAAATTATTATTAAAAAAAATTCTTTCCTTAAAAATATTAAAAAATTTCAAGTATAAATTTTAAAAAAATATTTTTTTTATGATTAATTTTTAACAAGAAAAAAAATTTATTGATATTACACTAATTAAAAATCTATCAATTTTACTAAAAAAATTTTATTAATTTTTAGGAAAAGATATAATCGGTTTAGCAGAGACAGGATCAGGAAAGACCGCCGCGTTTGCACTTCCCATCCTCCAAGGATTACTGGAAAATCCCCAGCGGTACTATGCGTTAGTTCTAACTCCAACCCGTGAGCTAGCGGTCCAGATCTCAGAACAATTTCAAGCTCTAGGATCTGGGATCGGAGTGTCAACAGCAGTAATCGTCGGAGGTATGGAAATGATGGCTCAGGCTTTGATGCTGATGAAAAAGCCCCACGTAATAATCGCAACACCCGGAAGATTGCTCGACCACATAAAAAACACGAAAGGCTTCAACTTGCGTTCTTTGAAGTACCTCGTGATGGACGAGGCTGACCGAATACTTAATCAAGATTTCGAGAAAGAGCTTGATGAAATTCTGCGGGTGATTCCGCGAGAAAGGCGCACGCTCTTGTTCTCAGCTACGATGACTAAGAAAGTAAACAAGCTCCAGCGTGCTTCTCTGAGGAATCCAGCCAGAGTTGAGGTCTCTGAAAAGTACCAAACAGTAAAGACACTTGACCAATATTATCTCTTTATTCCTGCCAAGTTTAAGGACGTTTATCTCGTTCACATTTTAAACGAACTTGCGGGTAATAGTTTCATGGTTTTCTGCGCTACGTGCAATAATGCTGAGCGTACTGTATTATTACTCCGTACTTTGGGAATGTTGGCGATTCCGCTTCATGGTCAGATGTCTCAGCACAAACGAATAGCGGCTTTGACCAAATTCCAAGCTAAAAATCGATCAATTCTTGTGTCTACTGATGTTGCTAGCAGGTAATTTAATATATTTTTATTTATTTATTATTATTTTTTTTTTTTTTCTTAATTTGTTCAAAGTCGCATAAACTACTAAGGTCATGAGTGACTACTATATAGGGTACTATAGGGGGTAAACTTTTTGAGATTGGAACTCGCTTTATTTCTCTTTTAATGCTTTGATAAGCAAGGGCCGGATCCGATAGGCTACTGCGCGCCTCGTTATTTATTATTATTATAAATTTTTATTATATTTATTAAACATATTAAATATTAAAAATATTTATTATATTTTATTTATAACGATTTTGATTTTTTCAGAGGTCTAGATATTCCTCACGTAGATGTTGTAATTAATTTCGACATACCGACTCACAGCAAAGATTATATTCATCGTGTTGGTAGAACAGCTCGTGCTGGTAGATCTGGACGATCTATTACTTTTGTTACTCAGTATGATGTTGAGTTGTATCAAAGAATTGAAGAACTTATTGGAAAAAAACTTCCTGAGTATAAGGCTGAACAAAATCAAGTTATGGTGCTTCAGGAACGTGTCGCTGAAGCTGAGAGACAAGTTAAAAAGGTTGATATTTATTTTTTTATTCAAAATTTATTATACAAATTTTTTTTTTTATTATTTTACAAATCAATGAGAAAAAAATATTAAATATTAAAATTTAATATTAAATTAAATATTTAAAGACACTAAATGATAATAAATTATAATGAAAAAATTTTCTCTAGGAACTGAGAGAAAGAGAAATTAATAGATCTGGCAAAAGGAAAAAACATTCTGCTGAAGATGGTGATGATGATGATACCGAACAATCGGTAGGTGTTCGTAATCGATTCAAAGGAAAAAAGCATAATAACAAACGTAGAAAGTAAAAACGTAGATCTAAATTTAATTTTTAAAAATTTATATAAATGTTTATATTTTGTATTTTTAATAATCATGATTTTTGGGAAATCATATTAAATATAAGATTAATTTGTATTTACATAAAAAAAATAAATAATAGTAAAGTTTAATTTTTTTTCAATTATTAAACTAGTATTAAATACTTTTTTGTAATTTTGTAATATACATATATGTTCTGTTTAAAAAAAAAAGTATTTTATAGATCGCAGCACTTGTCAAGAAAGTGCCATGTGTACACGGCAAATAAAAAATCATGACATGTAATAATATGTTTGTATAACTATAACACTAATTCGGGTACGAAACAAGTAGTCGTACACGTAAATTAACTTTAGGTTAATAGAAATAAATAAATTTAAATAAAAATGTCACCCTCAAAGTCTGATAAAAGTTCAAATGGAACCAAGTGTGTTTCTAGTATATGGAGCCGTGCAATAACCGCTAATTCCGAGTGGCCTGACAAGGTAAACGTAACCTCTTGTATTATTACTAAAAATAATTATATTATTTATTTAATTAGATGAATTAATTACAGGATGAATTTTTGGATGTTATTTACTGGAGCCGTCAAGTTATTGGAATTATTTTAGGAATTGTATGGGGTCTTATTCCTCTTAAAGGTTTTGTAGCACTAGCACTGTAAGTAGGAGTTTTATTTATAATTAATATTCTTTAACTATTAATTTCTCATTTATTTAATTGAATCAAAAAATATTTTTTAAAAATGAAACTTAAGGTTTTTTACTAATAATTCTTATTCAATTATAAATAACTATTTTTCTTATTTATTCTTCAGTTTTTTACTCTCATTTTTTTTATTTTTTATAATTATATTTTACAGTAAAAAATGTGAAAGTTATCTTAAATTATTTTATTCAAAGGTTCGCTTTTTTCAATGCGGGTTCTACGTACGTGTATATGAGTAGTTATCAGCAAATAGACGAAGAAGAATTTGGAGGAGTTTGGGAATTAACTAAGGAAGGTTTTATGACTTCCTTTGCTGGATTTTTAGTAAGTTATTAAATTTAATTAAACATACATTCAATAAAATGACACTGAAGTTAACAGACATCTATCAATTTTTTTTTATTTTTATAATAATTAAATTATTGTCAAGAAATTTAAATAAAAAAATTTTATATTTAAAAATTACAAGTGCAAAATTTTAAAAAATAATTTATGACATTAAAGTTAGCAGTCACTTGACGATTTTTTAATTTTTTTAACAACCAAATTTATTCCAAAAAATTGCATTTTTAATTTTTCAAAATTTCTACATGTCAATTTTTTTTGCTATAATTTATTTAAAAAAAATTTTTTTAATTAATAAATGTCTGTTTTACTTAATAATTATCTGCTAAATTAATTTCGGTAAATAATTTTCTCTCTACTGACTTCAGTATCATACAAAAGACTATAAACAATATAAAAATTTATTAATTAAATTTTTTTATTTTTCCAAAAGGTCACCTGGATAATAATTTACTCCGGTTTGCATTTTGACTGAAGAAACTCCCACACCAATCAATAATCAATTATCAAATTGAGTATTGATTAATAATGATGCTCAGTTACTCATTAATTAATTAATTAAATTCAGTGTAAATAATTTATTGAATCAACGTAAATGTGCCTACTGACTACTGTAATATATTAATTCACATCTGACAGTTTAATTTCTCAGAAAATCAATCATCTTTTTTTTTTATTAGAAATATTTCATAATATATATACATATATAAGCAATGAACAATTAATTTGAATTTTATTAAATCGTTGTAATTTATTTGACCATTAACCAATCATGAGACGCTTTCTTCCACGAGCTCTCACCTGCTGGTATTTCGATACAATTTCTCGTCGCTGCTTTTTATCCGTAATACCACATTGATAATTACTAATAATGCTGGCAAACAAAGTAGGTACTTGAGAGTGAGAGCTGAGCAATGATCGCTCGAGCACGTAAAGATCAACCGCTTTGTCTTCGGCTGTAGAATCAACTCGTGCGAGTCCGAAATCAATGGCTATTAGTTCTTGATGAAGGTTTTTGTCATCTTCATTGCTAATACCAGTTAGTTTATCAAATATACTATTTTTCACAAGTATATTCGACGTTGTCAAATCACCGTGAATAATATTTTTAGAATGTAGTTTTGCTAAAAGCATTCCTAGAGCTTTACCTATTTTTTCTATCCAAATTTTTTCATCTCCTACCTCGATCATTTTTTCTATACAAACTTTTAGCGTTACAGCGTTTTCTATGAACTCCATATAAATACTGCGCCTGGTTAAATCAACTAGATAAATTGTTGGAGTTGTTACACCTAAAATATGCAATAAATTTTTATATAAAATTGTGATAATTCTTTAAATTTTTTTAACAAAAAATTATGTTTAAAAAATTGCATTTTTTATTTTTTTTAAATTTCTACATGTCAATTTTTTTTAATTTGTTTGTTATTAAAATTTAATAAATATCTGCTAAATTAATTTATTGATTATTATAAATGTAACAATAAGTAAAAGTGAACAGTTTTGTTTTTAAAAAATGAACAGAATTGTTTTTAAAAAAAAAAAAAAAAACAAAAATATGACATTAAAGTTAACAGTCACTTGATAATTATTTAATTTTTTTTTTAATAAATAAATTAATTCCAGTCATTTTTAAAAAATTGCATTTTTAATTTTTTAAATTATTACATGTCAATTTTATTTGTGCCATAACTTATTTGTTAAATTTTTTTTACTATAAAATTAAATTACCAGCAGTTTTTGCACGAACGATAGCCCGCACTTCACTTTTAATCCTATCTTTAGTCAAAGTTTCATCAAGATCCGGATGTCTGTAATTTTTCTTAAATCGCTCCTTTTTTAATGTAAGTCTTCCCAAGTAATTACCTTTGTATAACCTAGCTTCAGCTCCCTGACAAATAAGTTCAAAATCTTCAGTCATTATTTCGTAAAAATATCTAAAAAAAATTTTTTCAAATATAAATATGTAACTTTCTTATTGATGTTTATGTTATTAAAATATAAGGTTATGTTTTTGCCGCATGTAAGTCTTTTTCTTACCGCATCAATCGCTGGCGCTAGTTACTTTTCGAGTTTTTCGGTAAATGGGTAAATGGAGGAAAAAGTTAAAAACAGAAAGTGACACTGACACTGACAGATTATTAAAAATTTTATTATAATTTAATAACAATTAAATTATTATTAAATAATATTTAATAGAAATATTCCGAATGAAAAAAACGATAAGAGGAAATTTTAAAAAAGATTTTTGTTATTGTTATTGATTTGTTGTAAAAATTTAAAAAAAATTGACAGGTGTCAGCAGATTTTTAAAAATGAAGTTAGCTGACATTTCAAAATTTTTAGAAATTTTTTATCGAAAAAATATCAATTAAACTATTAAAAAAAAATATATCACATGTTAAAAACTTGAAAAACTATAAGTGCAATTTTTTATAAATATCTTTTTAGTTGTAATTTAATTTAAAAAAAAAATCAAAAATTTTTAGACGTCTGCTAACTTCAGTGTCATGCAGATTTAAGTATTTTAATAGGAAAAAATACTGAGGCAAACTAATATTATGATATTAAATATTCCACGCTAAATAAAATATGAATTATGCAGTTCAAATGATAGAGCGAAATGCCCAATTGGATCTTTACTAAATGTCATGCGCGCTAATCGCTCGTTTTCAGCGTCCAGCTAGCAGCTAGTACTCGCTCGTTTGCTTAAATTACACAAAATGTAAGCTTAATTAATTTTAGAATAAATATTTACTAATAATAATAATAATAATAATAATGTTTATTTATTTGATCACAACAAGCTGAATAATGATGGATCAATACAAAATAGACACAAATCAGCTGATATCTGAAATTCACAAGCGACCAGCTCTTTGGAATAATAAAGATGTACTTTATCACAATCGGGATTCAACAAATTCCATGTGGACGGAGTTATCATCAATGTTTAAATGTCCAAGTATGTTTATGATACTAAAGTTAATTGACAGCAGTCAATTTTTTAAATTGTTACAACAAATCAATTATCAATATATACTACTTAAAGATTTTTTTCATAATAATTTAATTAATTGTTATAAAATTATAAAAAAAAATTCTAAAGTCTGTTAACTTCAGTGATTATTTTAACTTTTTATTCAATTGATAAATATTCATAAGAGTCATTGATAAATAATTATATAGAATAAATTTATAAATTTTATTGATACTTTTGATTGTCTGGATATGGTTTGTGTTTTTAATGACTAATTTTAATTTTATATTTATGATTATGATATATTGCCATTATTGTTTGAAGAAATGAAATTACAGAATAAAAATATGTAGAAGAAAGAAATATACCTTGTTCATATGTATCTGGATGATGCGGATCTCGAATCGCTTTCTCAAGCTATTATCATTCGCGCGCACGCATGAACATGCTGCCAAACGTTCTATTCTATAAATATATATCTATATATTTTTAAACGTTGCTTTCAAAAATATCTTAAATATTTACTTTTTATTTTTTTGTTTGCTTTTATTTTGTGTTTTACAAGCTTGCAAAGTATTTTAAGGACTTGAAATAATTTTTTTTTTAAACGACACAAATAAAATAATTTTTCGGCTGTCTAATATTGGCAAATGTATTTAATTTCTTAATTACTTAAAAAAAATTATAAAAACTATAACAATGTAATGAATATTATCTCGGTATTTAATATATTTCAATTAAATTAATTCTTAATATAAAAGAATTCACATTGTATTACAAATAATAGAACAATAAGGATTGTAACACCATTCATAACTTTAATTAACAATGTCTTAATAATAATTAATTATAGTAATTATAGTAATTGTTTACTTTCACAATCACTTGTAAAAAATTTTTTGGCCGTAAAAAAACTTGAAAATTATTTTTCATTTGTGTAATTATAAAATTTTCTAAAAGTCATCGTGTAATTTTTATGACATTAACAGACACTTGATCATTTTTTAATTTTATTTAAAAAAATTAATTTTAAAAAATTGCATTTTTAATTTTTTATAATTTTTTTTCAATAATTTTTTTTTGCACTAATTTATTGCTTAAAAAAATTCTAAAAATTATTAAATATCTGCTAATTTAATTTTCATAAATTTTTTACAAGTATTTCTTCTAATGCAATTAATTTTTATTTTTTTTTAGAAGCTGTATTGAAATCAAAATGGAAAGGTTTGCGAGATACTTTTCGAGGAGAGTTAAAAAAAGAGCAGACACCATGCAAAAATAAATATTCGACTAGAAATCGAGCAATGTGGACCCACTACAAAAATTTACTGTTCCTAAAAGACCAAATGTTACCAAGACCGCCAATTTGGGAGCGTGAAGATAATAAAAATAACAAGTGCGTAAAAAGTAAAACTTACTGTAATAATAATAATCACAAGCAACTGAAAAAGTTGTTTAATATTGTTATCGAGCGTAAAAATTTATCATCGGTGAACGGCCAAAGTGTAAACCAGGAAGAACTTACTGAAGATATTGTTAAAAAGCCAATAAAAATAAATTTAACAACGCCTGATAATGAGCCATCAAGTAGAACAATGCATCCGGTTATTGCCACTCCAGATAACGAATATGTTGAGGCGATTGTTAAAAAAGAGCCGATTGACATCGTGGATAATGGGGAGTATCGAAATAATATCGCTGATAATTACAACAATGAAGAAGAAAGAGAAATAAATGGAAGTGAAGAAATATTTGAGACCGTATTGCCGGAACAAGTGTTTCCAAGTTTTGCTGAAGCTTCAATGGCCGATCAAAATCGTCAGGATGATAATTACCACTTTTTAATGAGTCTTTTGCCTCATATCAGAACATTGCCAGCTGAGCGGCGAATGTTACTAAGAATCCAGATGCAGGAACTTGTTTACAAGGAAGTCTACAAGAAGAATATAAACACAGATTGTTAATTTCTGTACAGTATACACAATAGAATACTTGTAAATAATATTATCTAAGTTTTCGTAGAATTTTTTATCATCAAAAGATGCATATATTATATAAAAATGCTTTTGTTCTTCAAAAATTCACATCTTGAATTTTACTTTTATTTTATATGGAACTAAAATTAGCCGCTCAACAATTTTGTATTTTTTTTTATTAATTAAATTAGAATTAAAAAAATTTCATGACATTCAAGCAGTCACTTGATCATTTTTTAATTTTTTTTTAACAAATAAATTTATTCCAAAAAATTATTTAAAAAAAATTGCAATTTTTATTTTTTTTTCTCAATTTTTTTGCCATAATTTGTTAAAAAAAAATTCTAAAAGATTAAAATTAACAATTACTTGATCATTTTTTAATTTAATTTTTTAATAAAAAAAATTTATTTCTAAAAATTATTTAAAAAAAATTGCATTTTTAATTTTTTTTTTATAATAATAAAGTTAGCCGACATTTTTGATTTTTTTATTTTGCTTAATTTATTAAATTATAACTAAAAATATTTTTAAAAAATTGCACTTGTAGTTTTTGAAGTTTTAAACAAATGAAAAAGTTTTTTTTTTTATTTTTTTGTAATAATTTTTAAATAAAAAAAATCATAAAATTTTTTAGATGTCCGCTTGCTTTATTTTCATTTTTTTTCATTTTTATTGCCATAATTTATTAAAAAAATTATAAAAAATCCAATAAATTATTTTTTATAAAATTGCAAGTTCATTTTTTAAAATTTTCTACTGATAAAATTTTTTAAAAATAATTTTTCAATAAAATAAACTAGATAGATATTTATTTTGCATTGTACAACAGTAATAACTGTTTTTTACAATTTTTTCATCACAGTTTCTTAAAATTAAATCTGCATCTTAAGAATATTTAAAGCTTTGGTTCTAGCACCAAATTTACTTAAATACTTGATTTCGTCTTATTGTTAATATCACTTTTCACTAGCTTAGGTAATTTAGAAATTTAGAAACTTTTGGAACATTTTATGTTGAATCAAATTACATTAAAGGCTCTACAAACTAATTTTTATGGGACTTGTTGGTTAAAATCAATAAAATAAACTACTTATTAAAATTTTCAAAAGTCAGCTAAATTACTTTTAAATAAAATTCTGTACCTGAATAGAAATTTTGTTTAAAACAAAATTACAACTTACTGTATAAAATAAAACAAAAAAAATTTTTTTTTGTCAGCGAACCTTGTAATTGGCCTGAAAAAAGAGTGATTTACAGGTAAAAAAGTGAGTAGGTGTTTTAGGTGCTACAGGTATGTCAGTCCTGTTACTCACGCATGCGCAACAAGATACAATATGTTGCTTCTCGCTTTCTCCCGTTGTTTTCTTTCTTCCCTTCTGCTTTATTTAATAGCTCTGTCTTTTTCCCACGTCTATTGTTAGTTTCGGAATTTGTCTCTGGTCTGTGGCTTTGCTCTTGGATCGCATCGTCATCGAGTTGGAGTAAAGCGGTACCAAGGTATGGGTAGGACTCACTCGAGTGTGTAGTATAGGATAAGCAACGCGTGATTCATCAAGACGTTCCCACGATTGCTGTGATTTTTTTATTTCTAATTAACAACGTATGTGTTTACTTTGCATTATATATTTATATATACATCATACATATGTGTGTATTATTAAAAAGAGTAGTTTAAATTAAAATTTTTACAGGCGGAACAGAAACAGGTGTATCCATATTTGACAGTATTATGACTTGTGACGTTTAAATATCACAAGTTTACATTTATTACAAGTGATATTTATTGTGTATGTTAAATGTATCCTCTATGAAGGTAAAATGTGTCAAAGCTGACAGTATGGCGACGTGTGTTCATTGATACGTCAGGTGAGCGAGGGCAATTACACTGAAATATTATTGTATCGTGACTTTTTAACATTATCGATTGGTTTTTATGTCAAATATAGCTTGGGTAATTATTTATGGCCGCTATTAATAGATTGTTATTGTTGTAGTGCTTTTTATGTGACGTTTTGATACTATTTATGCTTTTATATTTATTCTCAGGGATATTTTTTGATTTAGAAATTTTTAAATGATAATTAATTTAGAATATTTTTAATAATTTTAAATGAAAATTAAATTAGGCGACATTTGAAAATTTATTTTATTGAAAAATTAAAAATGCAATTTTTTTTAAATAATTTTTTGGATTAAATTTTTTTGTTAAATAAAATTAAAAAATTGTAGTGACAGCTAACTTCAATTTCATAATTTTTTAAATAAACTATAATACTAAAGTTAGCCGACGTTTTCAATTTTTTTTTTTATTTAGGTATTTAATTGGATAAAAAATATTTTTTTTAAAATTACACTTGAAGTTTTTCATGATTTTTACAAATAAAAATTTTTTTTAATTATTTTTTCGAAGAAAATTATTTTAAAAATTTTTAGTTACTTTTAAGAATTTTTGGAGTAAATAAATTATTGAAAGATAAATTGATACGTAGAAATTTTAAAAAATTAAAAATGCAATTTTTTTAAAACAAATTTGTTAAAAAAAATTTTTAAATGGTTAAATGACTGTAATTTTTTTCATTTATTAAATTAGAACTAAAATACATTTTTTAAAAATTACACTTAAAGTTTTTTAAAATTTTAATTTTTTGTAATAATTTTTTTTAGTAAAAAATTTTTTTAGATGTCGGCTAACTTAATCTTTATCTAATAATAACTAACTGTTGTTAAATTGAAAGTCACGCTTCTAACAGTTTTAATAATTTTTAAAATAAATAACCCGTAAATTTTATTTAAAAATTCAAAGAAGATCTTGACAAGCAAGTTTTCTATTTTTAGTAGATAAATAATTATTTTATTTATCTTTAAAAAAATGTCGTTTACTTCTTTCACTAAAATGAAAGTTAAAATTTTTAATTTACCTGCAATTTCTTGACTAAAATTACCAAATTTTTATAAATTAAATAAAAGTATTTTTTTTTTTTTAATAAACTATATTTAACTAGATGAGAAGACATTGATAAAAAAATTTTTTTTTGCAACTGTGCTTGCTATATTTATATTTATGATGAAATAATATTATTTTTGTTTTCAGATGTCAACGGATAAATTTATATAATGGAGGCGTAGAGCGATTAAAAATATATTTAAATACGTACATCTGTTGTATACATATAAATATATATATATATATATAGATATATATTTGTGTATATAATAAATAGTGAAATAATAGAATGGTAAGCTCTCACTTCTTGACGGAGCCGTATTCAGTGTCGAATGCTTACGAGAGAAACGAAGAGACCAGCGACAGCCAGTCAACGTCAGTGATTATTTCAGACAGTAATACGAACACGGCTGTAAACAGGAATGATAAAGGAGAGAGCGATCCTGTTGCTCTGGGACCGGAAAAGACACCGGTGAGTAATTTGGAGCTCGGGAGCTTGGCAGGATGCATCAGAAGTCAAAGTGGTCCACCGTCACTTTCGATATCATTCGAGGATCAGGATTTGTCGTCCTCTTCCGTAAAAACTCGTTCACAAAATTCACCAAGCATTACGACTGGTTCATCTAACTTTAAGCAGCAAGACTATGGTGAGGAGAACTACGAGGGGTTTGGTTATGGCCGCGACGTTGAACTTGACGTTGAAGTAGAGTCTCCTGGTGAAGGAAACAGTTCTGCGCCATCACCTACTACTGGTCTTCATTCTCTTGGGTAATGTTCATTCATTCATTTATTAAATTTTAATTGATAATTCATTTTTATCAATCATTGCCTCTTTTAAGATTACTAACTATCGTAAACGCCCTTATTGATAAAAAAATTTTATTTTATTATTATTAATTACTATTTTTATTTTTATTATTATTATTATTATTATTTATTAATTATATTTTTATGTACTTAGGAAAACAAGTACTGCCAGTCCTTGTTCAACACTTGGTAGACACACGTGGTTACGAACGTCCTTGAGACGAACTCCACCCGGGTAAGTTTTATTTTTTTTATTTTAGTTTATAATACTAAAATTAGTCTACGTTTTTAATTTTTTTTAAATTGCACTTATAGTTTATCAAGTTTTATATAAATAAACATTTTTTTGTAATTATTTTTTCAATAAAAAAACATAATAAAAATTTATAGATGTCGGCTAACAGAATTTTCATATTTTTATAATACTAAAATTAGCCGACTTTTTAAATTTTTTTTCATTTATTAAATTACAATTAAAAAATATTTTTTTAAAATTGCACTTATAGTTTTTCAAGTTTTTTACAAATATAAAATTTTTTTTTTTTATTTTTTTGTAATTATTTTTTTAATAAAAAAACATAAAAATTTTTAGATGTCGGCTAACTTAATTTTATTAATTTATAATACTAAAGTTAGCCGACTTTTTTAATTTTTTTTATTTCTTTTCATTTGTTAAATTAGAACTAAAAAATATTTTTTTAAAATTGCACTTATAGTTTTTCAAGTATTTTACAAATAAAATTTTTTTTTAATTATTTTTTCAATAAAAAGAAACTTCAAAAAAATTTTAGATGTCGGCTAACTTAATTTTTATAATATTAAAGTTAGCCAACTTTAAAAATTTTTTTTTTCATTTATTAAATTATAACAAAAATATTTTTTTAAAATTGCACTTATAATTTCTTCAATTTTTTACAAATAAAAATTTTTTGTCATTATTTGTTCAATAAAAAAAAATTTTTTTGAGCTTAATTTTCATTATTAGTTTCAAAAAATTAAGAACAAATTAATTGATAAAAAATGCCATATTATATTAATTTAAAAAATTTTTTTTGTATTTACTTTTAGTAGTGCGAGACCAACAAGACAACTTGGATCAAATGCACTAGCGAGGTAAAATATAATTAATAAAATTTTATTTTATTTATTTATTTTTGTTTTTATTTTCTTTTATTTTATTATTATTTTTTTTTTTTGTTATTTTTTATTATTTATCTAGTCAACTTTATAGAAGTGGAAGTTTTAATAGTTCAGGTAGGGGGTCAACTTGCGACGCTACCGACGATATGTACAGTGACGTCTCCTTGGAGGATGATGTGATAGACTTAAATCACCGAGTACGTACAATAATAAAAAAAAAAAAAAAAAAACAAAATTATAAATAATTACACAGTAATTAATTACATAAATTACAGAGTATGTCATTTGCAGGTAAAATTGATCCAAGAACGAATGGACGCTCTAGTGGACACTCAATCAGTCAGTGGCGAGCGTTATGCGAGAGTTAAGCAGGAAAATGCGACATTGCAAGCGCGGATTATTATGCTAGAGGAAGCGGCGAAAGACGCCGAAGCTAGGGCGGAGGAGAAGCTGCAGAGCGAGCAGCGACGGCATCGAGAGTGGGTGGCTCGACTGGAGCGAGAAAAAGAGCTCCAGCTGGAAAACTCCGCGATGAAAGTCCAGGCGATCGAGGTCGAGTGCTCGGGCTTGAGGGAGCAGATTGTGCGGCTAAGGGAGCAGTTAGACGCCGCCAAAGAGGAACGGATCAGGTTGGAGAATTTATTGGACGAAGCTAACTCTAATATGGCTACTGCGCGTGAAAATGAACGACAGGCTGTGCTGCGTGCCAACGAAACTCGTCTGCTTCTCGACGCTGCCAAAGAAGAACTAGCCAATCGTGATAAGGACCGGCTGAGGATTGAAGACCTTTTGCTGGAGGTCGCCAGGCTTGGAGCGAGTAATAAGAGCTTGCAGGAGTCCCAGGATGAACTGCAAGCTGCTATCGCGGTTCATGCCGGTCGAGAACTTTTGATGCTTAATTCTAATAGTTTGTATGAAGACTTTGATAAAAATCCTCAGAGTTTAGCTGCTGAGTTGTCGGCTAATCAAAATCGAGACCAGGTAATTTTTTTTTCTTACTCTAAATTTATAGAAAAATTTTTTTGATTGAATTTTTAATCAAGTTAATTTTTTTTATTTATTAATTGTAAATAATTCATTAAATTGCACTGTATTTTTTTAACCATTGATGTTTTTGGAGATATAAAATCATCCTGATGTTACATTCATCAAGACCTTTCATTTGAGTACCCACATCAATTTTTAATATATTTCATATATTTATATATATTATATATATGTATGTATGAAAAATGTATTATAAATGCATGTGGGTACTTAAATGAAAGCTCTTGATGAGTGTAACAACGGGATGAGCTTATATCTTTAAAAACATCAATGGTTAAGAAAATACAGTGCAATTTAATATAATTAAGAAATGACCTTGTATCTTGTGAACTATTGACGTTTTTAAAGATATAAGCTCATCTTGATGTTACACTCATCAAGACCTTTCATTTGAGTACCCACATGCATTTTATTGCACTGTACTTTTTTAATTATTGACATTTTTAAAGATATAAGCTCATTCCGATGTTATACTCATCGAGACCTTTCATTTGAGTACCCACATGAAATTTTTATATATTTATATATATTATATATATGTATATATGAAAAATATATCAAAAATGCATGTGGGTACTCAAATGAAAGGTCTCGATGAGTGTAATTTCGGGATGAGCTTATATCTTTAAAAACATCAATGGTTAAGAAAATACAGTGCAATTTAATATAATTAAGAAATGACCTTGTATCTTGTGAACTATTGACGTTTTTAAAGATATAAGCTCATCTTGATGTTACACTCTTCAAGACCTTTCATTTGAGTACCCACATGCATTTTTGATATATTTTCATATATACATATATATATATAATATATATATATATATATATTAAATATATGAAAATTGATGTGGGTACTTAAATGAAAGCTTACTCGATTGAGTGTAACATCGGGATGAGTTTATATCTTAAAAAATTTCAATAGTTCACAAGATAATTTCTTAATTATGTATCTAAATAGAGCATTTTCGAATGCAGCCTAAATACTTATCATCATCATTAAATAATTAATTAAATAATTTATTCAACAGTTGGATGGTCATGAAAATGGTACAGTTGAAGAAAAACCCCGCACAATGGCCGAGGTAATATTTTTAATTATTTATTTAAATATTAGTATTGTTTTATTTATTATTTTTTAAAATACTTTTTTTTTTGCAGGTTTTACAGGCTTTAAAAGAGCAAAAAGAAGTAAATGCACAATTACGGTCATACATAGATGGTATACTATTAAACATCGTTGAAAATAATCCACAATTACTGGAAGTTAAGAAGCATTGACAACTTATTTAACGATAGTTAAAATTATAAATTTATATAGTTATAAATTTATTTTAGCTGATTATTTACTACGATAAACGTAATTTGTTATTAGATTTTTTTAAGTATATAATTAACTTAAAAAATAATATCAATCCGTCCGTGCATTGAATAACAGCAATGTTATTGTCTAATTAATGCAATAATAATTAATGATATTAATAGTAGGATTTTAAATTGATACATAATCGTGCCTATTAATTAAATTAAAATTTTTGACGATATTTTTTTTTTAAACAATTATTTGACCTCTGCACACGGTGTTGGTAAATTTTTTATTTGTTATATATTTACATTTATAAAACAGTGATTTTATTAATTATTGAAGTACTTGATTATGATAACAATTAGGTCAAGCAATTTAGTATAGTAATTATCTTTAATTTTAATCTAAACCCTAGTAATTTTTGTTATCAATTCTCTTTTAATAAAAATGATATTTTTCATTAAAAAAAAAAATTATCTTTCTTAATTTTAAATCCTTGATAATATTTTGTAACAATTTTTTTTTCAGTAATTAAATTGCAGGTAAAATATTTTTCTGGTTAATTATTATGATGTTGAATTTTTTTATGGAGCCATATTTTATGCGAGTAATTCTGTTTAATAAGTTTGGAGAAGCAATAAAAGACGAAAAATTGGATCAGCTGGTGGCAAAAGTACCTGGGAAATAATAAACACTTTTATGATGAACATTATTTAATCATTATTTAATCAAAATCTTCTAATAACAATCTAAGGGCCAGTTTTTCAAATAATACTAAAGTTAGCCGAGATTGTTAATTTTTTTTTTAATCATTAAATGAGAACTAAATAATATTTTTAAAAAATTGCACTTATGGTTTTTTAAGTTTTGAAAAATAAATTTTTTTTTTTCAAATTTTTTTAATAAAAAAAATTCTAAAAATTTTTAGATGTCGGCTAATTTAATTTTCATGTTTTTCAATCTGAGATAAAATTTTATCTGATGCTAGTATATATATATCTATATATTTCATGTTTACAGATATATTGGCAATAATAATTTTATTCTGCTGGATAAAATTTTATCTCAGACTGAAAAACTGGCCCCAATACTTCTTACGGAAATTCAAGTACTCTTTTAGTGTAAAGAATGTCTATAAAAAATAATACGTAGAAATACTTTTGTTATGCATCTTAAAATTAAGTTTTTAATTAATTAATAACATTTTTGAGAAAATTTCCGATAAACTTACTCATTAAATAATTATTAACAAAAACTAATAAAAAATATAGCACTCTGGACTATCGGTAAACATTTGACTTAAAATTTATTTATATTTGTTGTCTAACTAAAATGATTAAGATCTTCTAGCATTTAAAAACCCTTGGTTACTCATGCCCCGGGTAACTGCGCAAGCGGTTTTCCCAACAATTAAATAAAATTTTAAAATTGACAGCTGTCAGCTAACTTCAGTATGATTAAATTTTTGGTTAGGTAATTTTTTTACTTAATTACCTAATTTTTTATTTAATATTTGTTCTAATTATTATTATTATTATTTATTAGGATATTATTTGTGATTAATACTAGAATTTTTTAGCACTAAAGTTATTGCAAAAAATATTTTTTTTTACATAAACATTTTGTAACTATTTAATGACTACCTGTTGTAACAACATCCCTTTTACATGCTTACCTTTTTATTATCTGTAATTCTTTATTAACAATATATAGTAGTATTAAGACATTAAATATTTTTTAATAATAAATTTATGAGAAATTCAATAAATTAATTATTTTTTATTATATAAGATTGAACTTTTATTTTTTAATTTTTATTTTAGAAAAAATTTTAAGTGTCTGCTAATTTATGAGATTAATTTTGATTATTTTTTAATTCTTTTTGGCAAATAAATTTATTCCCAAAAATTATTTTTAAAAAAATTGCATTCTTAATTTTTTAAATGGTAAAAATTAATCAAGAAATAAGAAAAAAGAAAATAAAAGAAGGAAAGAAATTAATGTATTACGAAATGTTAAGGAATTATTGGAAATATGAAGGATTTATTTAAATATCAAATTTAAGCCAAATTCCTTGGCGGATTAACAATACTATGGTATTTATAAAAATATTGCGTAAATTTACAATTAATAATTTAAGCGGATATTGTACACAAATCCCTATCTTTAATTAATTTATTTAGTCTTATTTTATTCTTATGTAAATATTTATAACATTTAACAAAATAAACTATCAGTCTTGACGCTTGGATGACTTAAATTATATAGATCTTAGATCTATATTTTAAAAATTTTTTAATTTTTACATTTCCATTATTATATGATCAAACAGAAAGTTCGCCAGATTTTTACTATAGATAGATAGATAGATAGATAAAAAATTTTATTTGGCTCTGGAGCCTAAGCTCCCTCAAAGCCATCAATATTTAAATTACATTGGTTTACATAGGTTACAAGATTACTTAACTAATTAAAGGTTTACAATTAGATTTAATTTTAAATGTAATAAAATCCAGCTGGATCATTTAATACAAACAAATAACTTAATTTAACTTCGTAATAATTATACAAATAAATATATTTCAATAAGATCAAAAATAAAGATTACAGTTGCTAACTGTCATGTTCAAAAAAGTAATTGAAGCGAGCATTTTTAAATTCAACCAAATTATCTACAGCCACAGTCTCAGACGGCAGTGCATTCCAAATGCGTATGCCATGAATTAAGAATGAATTATCATACATGACACAATTAGCCCGCGGCATACGTAGGTAGTCCTGTCGGACATCACCTCTACGTAATGCTACAGGCAAAAAGTCTAGTTGAATTGTTCCCTAATCTCGGAATAAAATTCGGGTAAATAACTTCGGCCGACAGAAGTCGAATTAGCCGTAACCGGGTTACACAGTTGTAAATAATCGTGTTTAATCTGTTCGTTGAAGGTTGGACTAACCAACCGATCGGTTGCCTCGATTTCACCCTCAAACTTTCACGCTCAATCGAGTGTTAATAATCATCATCATCATCATCATCGCACATCGTTCAACTCTCAACCCTCAACCCTCGACAAAGCAGCCGTTTGTTTATTAATTACCGTAATTATTTTTTTTACCGATTTTGTATAAATAGTCAGCTGCTTTACTGACTATCGAATTTTTCATTGATATTTCATCAATATTATTATTATTATTATTATTTTTTTTTTTTTTTTTAAGATATCTTATAAAAATTACTTAATAATAAAAAGTTTGTAAAAATAAATAAAAATTAAATTATTTAGGTGTATTATTAATTACCGACTACTAAATATTAAATATCTAACGGGAAGAGTTTATGATTTATAAGGAGGAATATTAATAGCGTTGATGAAAGAACAAGGGGTAAATCGAGAGATGAGTAAAAGCTCGGAAGAGGGAAAGTTGAGGGAGAAGAGAAAATAAGGGAGCAAAAGGAAGGAAGGGATCGACGCGACAATAGGGGACTAAATGTAAGCTCTCTCATTGTCCTCGACAAAGCACCGTTAAATTTAACGTAAGAGGAAATCTAAAATGAGGCTAAAGATGCCAGCAGGTTAACAACTTTCACACTTTCCTCAACTCGAGTGTCAAGATGATAACACTAATGTGATAATAATAATAGTGGTGACTATATGAATTTGACGTCAGTCTCATAATTGAGTATAGTTTAATTTATGAATCATTTGATAGGATTGATAACATACTGGTAATAGATAATTAATTGGTTGAAAATACCCTAACTTTATAGCGTTGATCATAGCTTGCGCACACTCGGTTTCAGTAAAAAGCCTTCGAACGATGCGACTGTACAACTGTAAGGCAATATAATTAGTATGGAGGGTAGAGGTACCTCTAAATAAACATTCAGTAAGCTACAGATTGTTTTGTGCTCAATGTTGATTGGTAATTGGAATGCTTAGATAGAAGGAGCACGAACGGCATAGGTCATTTGGTAGAAAATGTGTCCTCAAAAACAGCAGCAAATAACATGTACCTATTTTCACCTATTACTAGAAATTTAAATAGCGCGCTACGTGCGCGCCTTATTTTCGACCAATAAGGAATCGTGGCCCGTTTTTTTGCAAGTTTCGACCTTTGACTAACTTCAAGACTTTCATGTATTTTAATTTAAAGGATACAGACACATTCATGTATGTATATGTACATTTGTTATTTATCTGTCATATATATATATATATATGTCATATGGAGACAATAAAATAGTTTTACAGTAATTAATTGTTGGTAATTAAAAGCAACATGATTGATATTAGTAATTAAAATAATTAAAATTACTTAATTAAACTAAGCTTGAAAGTTTTTATTTACAAGGTAAAGTAATTTATATAAATTGAGGTTATAATTTATATTGCTGTCAATGCAAATATGTAATAAATTATTATATTAATAATGTTACAGGTACTTTGTGATTAATATATTAATATTAAAAATGATTTCGGAGAGAGATTACGCACCATTGAGTGCAGCATGCGTTAGGTCGTTGAATGACAAAGTTTACGATAAAAGAAAGCCAGCAGCTACTGAGATAGAAAAGTATGATTTTTTTATAATACTTCTTAAAAACAATTTTTTCAACAAAATTTGTTAAAAAAGCAAAAAAAATTTGGTTCTATTTTATAACTGTTGGTGACATTTAACACTGGTGAAATTTGTAATTAAAGTTTGCGAAAGTTGATATATTTTTTGTTGATGTGGGTGATCCCGATTAAATTTCATTTCCGTAACTTTCATATTTGATATTTATTTCAACAAAAAATCATTAGAAATTATTTTAAATATTATTTATCACTTTTATAAATGTCTAATAAAAATTCATCAATTTACACCTTAATTAATAACTAAAAAAAAAAATAACTTGGCATTAATTTAAAAAAAAATAAATAAATTCTAATGACATTAGAGTTAACAGTCACAAAATGTTTTTTTTTTAATTTATTTTTTTTTTTTAAATTTGTTCCAAAAAACTATTTTTAAAAAATTGCATTTTTTATTTTTAAAATTTTCTACATGTCAATTTTTTTGCCATAATTTATTTGTTATAAAATTATTAAATATTAAATATTAATTCCAGAATGGTAAAAGAATTTTCCGCGCACAACAACACAGTGCAAATAAAGCGCCTCTTAAAAGTCTTAGGCCAAGACTTTGCAACCTCCCAAAACTCCCACACCCGAAAAGGCGGCTTAATAGGCCTGGCCGCTATTGCAGTAGGCCTGGGCAAGGACACTGGTCAGTACACAGAAGAACTAATCCGCCCGATCTTGGCCTGTTTCTCTGACCCAGACATCCACGTGCGCTACTACGCCTGCGAGAGTCTGTACAACGTGGTAAAAATCGCTCGAAGCGCCGTGCTGCCTCTCTTCACAGACATTTTCGGCGCACTAAGCAAGCTAGCTTGCGACCCAGAGCAGAACGTGAAGAACGCCACAGAGCTCCTTGACCGTCTCATGAAGGACATAGTCACAGAAAGCGGGATGTTCGACCTGGTGGGTTTCATGCCCATCTTACGGGAGCGCATCTACATAAAAAGCCCTTTCGGCCGGCAGTTCATGATCTCCTGGGTCTCAGTCCTGGACGCGGTGCCAGACATGGACTTCGTGATAATCCTCCCGGAGATTTTAGACGGGCTCTTTATTATCCTCGAAGATCCGACTCCGGAGATTAAAAAAATTACTGACACTGTCCTGGGGGAGTTTCTTCGCAGTATTAAAGCGAATCCTTCTAGAGTAGACTTCCAAGGGATGATAAATATCTTGATAGTTCACGCGCAGAGCGCTGATGAGCTTCTTCAGCTGACTGCTATCGCTTGGATGCGAGAATTTGTCCAGCTTTCGGGGAGTTTAATGTTGCCCTATGCTTCAGGAATTCTTTCTGCTATTTTACCTTGTCTCGCTTATGATAGTGATAATAGGAAGAATATTAAAGAAACAGCTGCTAAAGTTAATTCTGCTCTTATGGAATTAATTACTACTGAGGATCTTGTTATTACTTGCGATCCAGATGATAAAAAAGCTAATAAAAAAGAAGACAAGCCAGAAGATGATAAAAAACCAGAGGGACTTAATTTAACGAAAATTGTTGAAGTTTTGACCAAACATTTAAAACAAACTTCTGTTCAAACTAAAATCGCAACCCTAAAATGGATTTATCATTTATTCATCCACATTCCTAATAAAATGTACAATCACATTGATGATTTATTCCCTGTGTTAATGAGAACCCTCGGTGATAATTCCGACGAGGTTGTTCAGCAAAATTTGGTTGTAATTGCTGAAATAATAAGCCCGCAATCTACTGAAGATAAAGATAAGTCAGAAACAACTAAGATAAGTCCGAAATATTTCACTAAATTTATTGTGAATTTATTGAGATTGTTCTCTACTGACAGACACTTGTTGGAAGACAAAGGAGCATTTATTATTAGAGAATTGTGTGTCTTGTTGAGTGCGGAAGAGATTTATAAAATTCTGGCGAAAATTCTACTAGAAGAGCAGAATTTAAGGTTCGCTGGAATAATGATTCAGACGCTGAATGTTATATTGCTTACTAGCTCGGAGTTGTTTGAGCTGAGGAATAAATTGAAAGATTTGAAGAACGAGGTTTGGAAAAATATTTATTTATTTTGGAGTTTGATTACAATTGTAATTGTTGTTTTAGTAATAAGTTGTTTTTTACAGGAGAGTCGCAAATTGTTTGTTTGCTTGTACGAGTCGTGGTGTCATAATCCGGTAGCAACAATGGCACTTTGCTTGCTGGGTCAGAATTACGCCCACGCGTGCGATCTTGTTAAATCATTGTATCCTTTTTCATAACAATTTTTTTTTATAAAAAAATAATATATGTATATTTAGATAAATTTTTTCCTTAATATATGTTATTTTAAAGTGCTAACATCGAAGTAACTGTTGAATTTCTCACGGAAATTGATAAATTAGTACAACTAATTGAGTCTCCGATATTCACTTGTAAGAATTTTATTTTTTGACGGTTTATTAGCTGTTTAAATTAATTAAAAAAAAATATTTGTTTAAGTATATCGAATTCATATTATTAAGAAAATAAGAAAAATGATCCTGTATCTTGTGAACTGTTGACTTTTTTTAAGATATAAGCTAATCCCGATGTTACACTCATCGAGACCTTTCATTTGAGTACCCACATCAATTTTTCATATATTTATATATATTATACATATGTATATATGAAAAATATATCAAAAATGCAAGTGGGTTATTCAAATGAAAGCTTTTGATGAGTATAAGATCGAGATGAGCTTATATCTTTAAAAGTGTCAATAGTTAAAAAAGTACAGTGCAATTTAACATAATTTAGAAATTACCTTTTATCTTGTTAACTATTGACATTTTTAAAGATATAAGCTCATCCCGATGTTACACTCATTAAGACCTTTCATTTAAGTACCCACATCAATTTTTCATATATTTATTTTGTATATATATATATATATATAATGTATATAAAAATATGAAAAATATATCAAAAATGCATGTGGGTACTCCAATGAAAGCTCTTGATGAGTGTAACATCGGGATGAGTTTATACCTTTAAAAATGTCAATAGTTAAGAAATAACCTTGTATCTCGTGAACTATTGACATTTTTAAAGAGATAATCTCATCGTGACATTACACTCATCAAGACCTTTCATTTGAGTACTCACATCAATTTTTCATATATTTATATATATATGATAAATATATCAAAAATCCAAGTGGATACTCTAATGTAAGTTCTTGATGAGTATAACATCAGGATGAGCTTATATCTTTAAAAATGTCGATAGCTAAGAAAGTACAAAGCAATTTAACAAAATTCATTATTTAATAAAGTAAAATTTTATTTATTTATAATTCATAAGTCACAGCAGTCACATAGTAACTGCAAAGTTACTAGTTATTTATAATTATAATTAGATATAAATCTATTCATTTATAATATATTTTTAAACTGTATTTTAATTAACAACTTTGATTCATAAGATCTTAAAATTAATTACCCTTGTCCGTGAATATTTATACATTCATTTGTATTGCAGATCTGAGACTGGAGTTACTGGAACCAGAAAGGAATGAATCTTTGGTGAGAACTCTGTACGGCCTGTTGATGATTTTACCTCAGAGTGAAGCATTCGCAACATTACAACGTAGATTGACAGCGATACCTCCAGCTAGCTCGGTGATAGTCGCCGGCAAAGCTGGCGACCCTTCAAATAATAAACAGACGGACGGAATCGATTTTGCGAGGCTTTTGAAGCACTTTGAGAGCGTTCAGGAGAAACACAAGGATCAGAAGCATCGTCAGCGGCTGAATATGTTCGTTGATCGTGATTCAACACCGACAAGTCATAGTGATACGTGATAAAAATAACTATGATAACAAGTATTGTTGGTTACTTTTATAATTTATCTCCTCGTCGGTATCTTGGTCTGTTAAATTTTTTTCAGAATCATTAAACTCTGTCAAAGTATTATCATTATTAATTTTATTAATAGTCAAATTATTTATTTTGTCCACTAGCAGATCATTATCGCAAAGTATCAGAGCTATTTGTTGCTGCATGTCGCAAATATTGCGCCACATTTTGGTACCCTCTTCACGAATGGAATCCGGAAGATTCGAAGTCTGGCTCGTTGATTGTTTTGTTGGTAATGTATTTATATATGACGATAGAGTCTCGTAACGTTCGTTGCTTTCTTGACTCATACGACATGCAAATGACTCTAATGAGTTATTGTAAGTCTTCAAATCTTTATCTAATATTTGGCTTTGGAGATAAATTGTTTGGACCATTTTATACCAGTCAGCTAGTGACTCTGATCGTTGGACTATTGCGGGTATGCATTCTGTTTCTAAAAGCATTTTTAGTCGACGGCCAGTTTCTGTTACCTAAAAGTATTAATAAGTCAGTTCGAAAATGCTCTATCTCTAGATAGATAATTATGAAATTATCTTGTATCTTGTGAACTATTGACATTTTTAAAGATATATAAGCTCATCCTGATGTTACACTAATCGAGACCTTTCATTTGAATACCTACATCAATTTCTCATATATTTCATATATTTATATATATTATATATAAATATATGAAAAATATATCAAAAATGCATGTGGGTATTTAAATGAAAGCTCTTGATGAATGTAACATCAGGATGAGCTTATGTCTTTAAAAATGTCAATAGTTAAGAAAGTACAATGCAATTCAATAAATATCTTGTGAACTATTGACTTTATTAAAGATATAACCTCATTTCAATGTTACATTCATCAAGACCTTTCGTTTGAGTACCCACATCAATTATTCATATATTTATATATACATTACATATATGTACGTATGAAAAATATATCAAAAATATATGTGGGTACTCAAATGAAAGCTTTTGATGAGTATAACATCAGGATGAGCTTATATCTTCAAAATCATCAATAGTTAAAAAATTACAGTGCAATTTAACAAAAGTCATTATTTAATAAAGCAAAATTATTATTTTATAAATATACCTTTATCCTTTCTAACACATGAAACTGTTCATCATTATAGGTAAGTGTCCGAGTCGCCCGATCCCTCAAAAGATGTTGCCAGCCATCGCGAAGTCTATCAACAAGAGTCGAAGCTCTTTGACTTGCTTTAGTTTTCCACGGGCATGTTAATTGCCGTGTCGCCGATTCCCACTCTGCTTTTAAAACTTCATCTTTAACATACCTGCAAATAATTATTAATAAACCTTCACATTCCAGAATTTCAAAAAACTACTTAAAAAAAATCATTAAATATAAATAACCTCTGATAAAGTTGAGCAATAGCAGGAGCAAGTTCAGCAAACAATTGTTTATGCCTCAAGTGTAACTCGATCCGCCACTCATTACTCTTAGTCTCATTACCAACCGAATGAGGCACAGAAGAAGAGTTAGAAAATTTCTTAATAGCCTGAATTGCAACAGCATCGCCCCGCTCAGCAGCAGTAAATATTTTCTCCACAGCTTTGGTCAACTCTCTCAAATGATCAACCTGCTTAGTCAACCTCTTCAACTCCGAAGACAAAAGATTAACAAAAGCATTGACAGAATCTTGAGCTAATTTGCTAGCAATTGCCAGTCTGTCAACAATCCTTTTACAAGAGTGTCCAACCGAGCATGCTAATTTTGCCTGACTGGCATCATTTTCCACCGAAACAAGATTAGCGAAAGTCGGGAAGATAATTGATTCACATTTTTTATCTCTGTTAGATTGAGAATTTGAATTTGAATTAGGTCCAGCTGATATTCCTTCTAAATTACTTGACACTGAATTTCCCACAGTAGTTCCAGTTATAGTAGTTGAAGAAGAAGAATTAACAGATTGTAAATTACTCAAGCCATTAATTACCGCAGAAACAACATTATTATTTTCTCTAGAAAAAACACAAAAAGGATTTTCAATTGTAGTCCCCGGAAATCCTTTAGCGACTCTATTTTCGTCAATTAATTTCGAGAGAAGCGTTTCTCCGAATAAAATAATTTGAGCATGAGGTAAAATGTCAGTTTGTTCCTGAATGTGATTTTTAAGAGCCGAAATTTTGTCTTCAGGATGTAAATAAGCTTGGAGAGACTGCATGGTGTGAAAATTAAAGACATGAATAGCTTTTCTACACAAAATATCAGTGACTTGATTAAAAAATCTTTCGAAGCTCCAAATGTACTGCTTGTTGACTTCCAACAAGCCGGCTAAAAGCGGGGTTACAATTTTTTTTAATCCATAACTCAGCCTGCAATTATTCGGGAGCTCTTTGCTCCACTCAATAGGAGCATTTTCATAAGCCTGGACTCCAGAAATAACTCCAGAATCTTTCCTGGTGGTGATAAAGTACATGGTCTCTTTATTTCGCCGCCCGCCGAAGGGTCTGAAGGGTAAATTGCCGGTCGCTACATGATAAAGAGTCACTCCGATGGACCAGAGGTCAACAGTAGCTCCGAAAGTTTTATTTACTGGCTTTCGGAGGACTGCGCGCTCGTAAACATCAGGGTGAAGATATTCTTCAGTGCCGTACAGTGAAAAAAACTGCTGGTCTTCATTTAATTCTCGGGCGGCTCCGAAGTCGGTGAGCTTGTAGATAGTGCTGCCGTCATCCGCGATGTACTTCATTATATTCCCGGGTTTGAGGTCGCGGTGGACCAGGTTGTTGTCACGGAGGTGCTTCATTCCTGCACACAGGTGCTCCAGGACTAGGAGAAACTCGCTCTCTGCTAGACCGTAGGTGTTTTCGGGGTCGTCGAGGATGTTGAACAGGCTGCCGCCGGTGCACAGCTCCATTACTATCACTTTGCCACGGCCGTCTTGCTCTTCTTCTATTGCTAGGAGCTTTACTATGTTCTCATGCTTTACTTTTTTTAAGACTTGGAATTCACGCATTTGAACGTCTATTGGACGAGTTTGGCTCTGGGAGTTGAAGGTTTTGACGGCGACAGGCTCGCCGTTGTTCTTGTCGACCCCTTGGAAGACTGCGCCGGTTGCGCCCTTGCCCAGGACGCTTGTTGTGCACCACACGTAGTTCGCCGATCCGCGTAAATATGACATTTTTAGTTTTTTTTTTTTTTTTTTTTTATTTATTTATGATATCTGGAAAATTGAAGGATTTTAATATTGTTATTTATTATTTACTTATTTAGATTAAATAAATATAGTAAATATTTATTAATTTACTTACATTAAAAAACAGCTGTTTATTTTTTTATTTTAAATATCGAATAAAGTTTGAAGAAAATAGTTTTTAATTTTTTAATTTTTATTCTAGTATTTTTTGATGAAAATTAAGTTAGCCGACATTTAAAAATTTTTATAATTTTTTTTTATTGGAAAAATCATTACAAAAAAATAAAAAAAAAATTTCATTTGTAAAAAACTTGAACAACTGCAAGTGCAATTTTTGAAAAATATTTTTTTAATTTAATTTAATTATTAAAAAAAAAATCAAAAAATTAAAAACGTCGGCTAACTTTAGTATTCGCCGATCCGCGTAAATATGACATTTTTAGTTTTTTTTTTTTTTTTTTTTTTTATTATTTATGATATCTGGAAAATTGAAGGATTTTAATATTGTTATTTATTATTTACTTATTTAGATTAAATAAATATAGTAAATATTTATTAATTTACTTACATTAAAAAACAGCTGTTTATTTTTTTATTTTAAATATCGAATAAAGTTTGAAGAAAATAGTTTTTAATTTTTTAATTTTTATTCTAGTATTTTTTGATGAAAATTAAGTTAGCCGACATTTAAAAATTTTTATAATTTTTTTTTATTGGAAAAATCATTACAAAAAAATAAAAAAAAAAAAAAAAAATTGCACGTCTAAAAAACTTCAAAAACTGTAAGTGCAATTTTAAAACAATTTTTTTGTTCTAATTTGATTATTAAAAAAAAAACTCAAAAAATTTAGAACGTCGGCTAACTTTAATGACATTATTTTTTGATTTTTAATATTGAAATTGAGACATGTAATGATTATTAGAATTTTTAGAAGAAAAAATTGACAAGTGAAAATTTAAAAAAATTAAAAATGCAATTTTTTAGAAATAATTTCTTTAAACAAATTTTATTTGTTAAAAAAAAAATAGTGAAATGACGGCGCTAATTATATTAATTTACATCAATTTTAATTTTTATGGGGGACATTTTTTTATTTCTTAAAAAAAAATCATAAAAATTGTGACACTGAAATTGACAGACATTGTTAGACATTTTTTTATAATTTTATAACAATTAAATTATTATAAAAATAATTTAATTAAAAAATTTCACAAATTTTCAGAAGCTTTCTTTTAATTGTAATTGATTTATGTTTTTAAAAAATTGACAGCTGTCAGCTAACTTCAGTATTATTAAATTTTTATTATGATATTGAAAGTCTATAATTTAATTAGAACAAAGTAAATATAATTATTGTTTATTATTATTACTTACTCTTTTACAATCAAAATATAAACAATGAACCTCTAACCTGTTTTTATTTACATTTATCTTGAAATGTCAAAAAAAATGTAGTATACTGTGTGAATGTGGCTAAAGTTACGGCACAACTTACTATAGAGGTTATCCCTTATTGTGTGTTTATTTTTTCTCAGGAAGAAAAAGACGATAGTTATCGCGTTGTCAACGTTTATCGGTAAGTTATCATAAGAAATTAATTACTTTTAGTATTTTTATTTTATTGTTTTAATAATTTAATTTTTATTTTATTTAAAACTAAAACAAATAATTAAAATGACTTGATCCTGAAAATTAAGTTAGCTGACATCTAAAAATTTTTAGAACTTATTTTTTATTGAAAAAATGATTACAAAATAATAAAAAAAAAAAATTCATTTGTAAAAAAACTTGATAAATTATAATTTAAAGTGTAATTTCTAAAAAATGTTTCTTAATTCTAATTTAATAATTTAAAAAAATCTAAAAATTAAAAACGTCAGCTAACTTTAGTGTTGCTAAAGACAAATTAATATGAAAGTATATTCTTAAAAAATTTTTGTCCGTAAATTGTATAAATATTTAATTTAAAATTGTTCACACTAAGACCCTCGTCAATAATCGAGCTAAATTTATTTTAAGATTACAACTATTACAAGTAATGAAATTTAATGGGAGGTTTATTAAAATAAATCAATAAAATTCCAGAGTCGTTTATCTTAGCATCCCTCCTAGCTCAATTACGTTTCTAAGAATATAAAAATGAAAGCTCCTCCGTGATGTACTGTCTTATGGCTATAGCAGGGGATATTCAATTTACGCGTTTTCTCATTCATGAGATATAGTTATAATGGGGTCATACCGGTCACACCGGGCACTCCAGTTGCAACATTCGATTTAAACATCTCGGAAAACCATTTACTCCCATCTTCAACTAATCTACGGACAGTCATTAGGTATTAAGTAGGATTAAAACTTATTTCATCCACTTTTATCCTTAACTACTAAACCATAGGAGTCTATTTTTAATTTTATTTATTATTATTGCTTTCAACTCCGAGATAATTTGATATAATAAACTTTTTTTATTAAATTACATCATAAATGTATAAAAAATTTATATAAATATAATTAAAAAAATTTTTTTTAATAAAAATTCATTTTTTTAACAACTAAAAGTTATTAAAAATAAATAAACTCATTTTTAATTTTTAATTTCAATTTTATTTAAATTAAATTACATCATAAATGTATAAAAATTTATAAATAGTATTAAAATATCATTTTTTTTTTTCACAATAAGTATAATTATAATTTATTTTTAAAACAATTCAAATAAATATTCAAAATTATTACAGGATCGGATTTTTCGTGACAAAAAATTGTTTTACAATTTTTAATTAATACTTAATTAATTTTTTTGAAGTAATAATTATTTTTCATTAGTAATAATTAATGAAAATGAAAAGAAGATAATGCCCAATAACAGATAAATTAAAAAAAAAAAAAAAATCTGGTATAGATAAAATATTTATATTTATGCCGTTAAGTACTGTACTGCTTATTTTAGGAAGATGATATATTGTTTTTATACTTAGCTTAATACAAAAGCTCCTTCTCAGTGTTTATTTAACTTTTAGTCATCTCGATCCTTATGTCAATCTTAAACTACGACAGATCCTTTAGCGCTTCCGTTTTTGACCGGATGCTGATCAATTTTTTAAATAATAATATTATTTCATGTCAGACTAGTCAACTTTTTGTTAATATAAATAAATTTAATAGATATCTTTGTTATAAGTTATTTGAGAAGAAAAATGCGCATCCGAAAATAAAATAATGATTGTAGTTAATAGTATATTTGATGTGACTCGTGATTATATCTATTGGACAAATTTTGGTAACGCTGTACTTCGTTTGATTCGTGTTGTTGACGAAGACAATATTGATTGTAATGCGATGATTCGGATGTCGATGATACGGGACAACTTGTGTTTACCAGGGCTGAGGGTGTTGTATTGTTTTGATAGGCAAACGGCCATGACTGAGAAAAAATAAGAAAATTACTTTTATTAATAAAGTTAAATTTTCTTTCAAATTTTTTGTTTAAATTAAGATATAAATATAAAATTTTATTATATTATTTATCAAAAAATATCTTCAGGAATTTTTTTAAAAAATCAAATGATTTCTTTTGTTTTAATAAGGTTTATAATTTTTTTTTAAAGATATTTTAATTTTAATCAAAAAGAGTAAAATAATAAATAACACAAACTTTAAACGAAATAAAACTAGGAAAGTTCGTCGACTGATTTAATCCAACTGGTAAAATGTAAACAGACATCACTTTTATTAGTGAGTTTCTAAGAGAGATTTGTCCCACCTGGTGACAGCTATTTTCTTCTTTGTTAATATAACATTTAAGAATTTTGCTTTAAAATACAATAATTAGTATTTATTTTATTATTTTATTAAAATTTTTGGGCTTGTAACTTAAAAAAAGAATTTTATTACATTTTTTTAACTTAAAATATTATTTTTATAGATATTTGCAAGGATATATTTTTATAAATAAATTTTGTAATTTTAAGAAATGAATATTTTGAAAAAAAAATCTAATTTAAATCATGAAAATAATTTTTATACAATAAATTTGAGTCAGAAATTTGTTTAATAAGCTTTTATTAGTTCAAATAAATTTTAATCAATTAAAATAAATTATTTAGATATATTCTGGCCTATATTTTTATAAATAAATTTTTTCTAATTTTAAGAAGTGAATATTTTGAAAAAAAAAATTTATTTGAATCAAGAAAATAATTTTTAAGCAATAAATTTGAGTATAAAATTTATTAAATAAATTTTATTTAATTAAAATGAATTGTTTGGATATATCATTTATCTAAAAAAATTTTTTTCATTTTAAGAAGTGAATTATTTAAAGAAAAAATTAATTTGAATCAAGAAATAATTTTTAATTAATAAATTTGAGTAGACCAAATTTCTTAATAAATTTTACTTGATTAAAAATTTTTATCTTGTTTAAAATAAATTAATTTTTTCTTCAATGAATAAAAGAAGATAAATAAACTTACCAAAGTAAGAGACAAAGGTTTTGACGAATCTAATTGACTATCAGTGTCTTCCCTTAGAACAGCCCTGAGATGAGCAATATAAGTAGCGGCCAATCGAAGTGTATCCAATTTACTGAGCTTAGTATCAGCAGGGACCCAAGGAAGAGTAGTTTTAAGACGACAAAAAGCTTTGCTTAAAACTCTCATCCTCGCTCTTTCTCGTGCATTTGCGGCATTTCTTGGTGCCCGAACTTTGCTGTACTTTTCATCCATTGAATAATCTTCCTCGTCTAAGTAAGACGTCGATATTCTTCTTTTGCGTGGCATTATCACTTTTTACAATATAAAAAATAAATTTCTAATCAAAAAAATAAATTTTTATTCGTAAGACTAAAAAAAATTTCTAAACTATTTTTCAAACAATTATAACTTGACTTGTTAAAGGGGTAAGACTGACAGGGTTCACTAAACAAGCGTAACTAATTGCTCGAGGCGTTAAGTGGATGCTGGAGTGGTTCGAGAAATGAGAGCACGAGATGATGATGACTATGAATGAAAAAAAAAAGCTAAAGAGGAGAAAAAAAATAATTTTAAAAGGCGGAAAATTAGTGACAGGGCGGGTTTTTGAGGCGGGACTAAATCTTTAAATGTTCCACTAACACAAACTATGAGATGTTTTCTCAATAAGTCTTGAGCCAATCATAAATCGTATGAGCTCTTAAACATATGCACACACCTGGTTCCTTTGTTTTTAAGATTCGGTTTTGTGTTTGTTATTGTAAAAAATTTTTCATTTTTATCTTTTATTTTTAATATCTTCATTCGGACCCGTCAAATTATAGTTTTTTTTTTCTTTAGGTCTTTTAAGGGCCACGTGCCGAAATTTAAATTGATTAACAACTTCCGTATTTATCTTTACAAAAAAATTCGTTTTATTTGTTTTGATATTTAATTATCTTTATTTTTTAGTTAAATCTTTGTGAAACTTTCAGGTATTTTCTTTTTATTTTAATAAAAATCCTCAAACAAGTTTCTTTTAAAATTCTTGAGTTTTAAATTTAATATTTTATGTCCGCTATTAAATTATGACAATAAATAATCGTAAATACAACTTTGTATTTAAAAATTAGACTTTAAATTGGGTGTTTAATTTAATTTATAGATTTTATCGGATAATAAATAAAATTGTTTTATTTTTATTTTTATTGAGTGTAATTTCCTATTAAAGCAAGATCGTTTAATGGACCGTGAGCTCTTTTAAATTTCATGAATTTATTTTTATTAATAAATGTAAATTGATTTATAACTTTCTAATAATTTATTATTGTTTTTTATTATAAAAGAAAAAATAAAATCTTTGTCAAAACTTTTTTATTACAAAAATTTGTCAAAATAATTAATAAAAATTTTAAAAATAATTATTTAGAAATATGTAAACTATTCAGAGGAATTTTTAAGGGTTCAGTACTGTTTATTGAATAATTATATAAAGTCTTCCGCCGTCGGTAGATTCGTCTAGAAGATATGAGATATGAAATATCTATAATATATAAACAGTCAGGCGCCACTCTAAAAATAGCTGGAAATTCTTTAAATATTTTGAAATTACATCATTTTATTATAATTTTTGAATTAATTAATTACAATAATTATTACTCTGCCATAAGAGAAAAAATTATAATAATGTTTAAAAAATTAAAGACTTAAAAGTTTAAATATTAGAAGCAACTAATAACCTCGCAGTCAATATATGACTGCCGTGATTTGTAAACCATAAATGAATAAAATTTTGATTTATTAATTAATAATTTTTATGAAATTGCACTGTAATTTCTTAAGAAGGGTTTACATTTTTTTCTCTCTCTCTCGCTCTCTATTGGACAAACGAAAGTATCTCTGTCATACTTGTACAGCTTACGGAATCTCAAAACGCATTTTATGCATAAATAAATGAAAATTTTCTAAAAAAGCGCTTGGCTCTTCGATAGATAATTTAATTATCTATCGAAGAGCGAAGCGTTTTTTTTTGAAATTTTATCTTATTCATGAGCAAAACTCGTTTAAAAATCAACTATCAACCGCTCTTAACTATTGACATTATTAAAGATATAAGCTAATCCTGATGTTATACTCATCAAGAGCTTTCATTTGAGTACCAACATGCATTTTTGATATATTTTTCATATTGTTATATATATAATATATATAAATATATGAAAAATTAATGTGGGTACTCAAATGAAAGGTCTCGATGAGTGTAACATCGGGATGAGCTTATATCTTCAAAAATGTCAATGAACACCATAATTCGAGAGCTTATTTACAAGGTAACAGTTCTGCCTTAAAGCCCGGGTGAGTCCTATACCCCGACACGTATAGGCGGACTTCAATTATTAAATTAATTAGTCACCTTTTCCCTAATTATTCATTTCGATTCCTTAACGGTATTTCTGAGTTCTGTGTTTGTGATTCTTCGAGCCACGATTCGTTTTGACGATAATCGAGATTCCCGCAGTTCCAGTGACCTGGTCCCACTCTCAAATTATTATTTTCTTCTTCTGTCAATTTATAATCGGCGAACTTTTGTTTGCCGGAGTCGTTACTCCGGTTACGAACTCATATAAACTTTCAACTTGTTTTATATTGTTATTCGTTAATAAGTGAATAGTGTAAATTAAGACGTGTTTGCCCATAGGACCAGTTAAACAGAATATACAAACTAAAAACCTGAATCGAAGTGTTCCATCATTTATAAAATTAAGAAGTTATCCAACCTTCAATCTCCAGTCAACAGGAGGAAGCAAGAAGCCAAGCAGCGGAATTCAAAGGTACGAGTCCAATCAAAGGCCGAATCATCGTTGGAATTAGGATTCGCAATAGTAAGTGGAGGATATTTTATTATTTCCGAGGTCGATTGTCTTATTCTAGGGGCCCTCTCCGGGGTTTTCACCTTCACGAACCCATAAAATATAAACTTAACGATTTTTTCGTTAGGCAAATTCATCTGTTATCCGAACCTCCGTTAATCCAGCTACCGCATTTTTAGATCTTATTTTTCGGACATAACAATATATACATATATATGTCGTAGACAGATCGTGAAATTAGACAGTTCGTGAACTGTCTAAGCATTTCTAGACAGTTCATGAACTGCAGCCAGATCGTGTAATGGTCGATCAGTTACACGAAGTGGCTAAAATTTTTAGACAGTTCATGAAATGCAATTAGGCCTTAGACAGATCGTGTAATGTTTCAAAATTACATGATATGTCTAAATTTTTTAGACAGTTCATGAAATGTCTAATAGCTGTTTTGCCGATTGTGAAATATCTAGGAACAACGGATTTCTAAAAAAGAAAAAACTGAAAAAAGATGAGATTGTAACGATTTCGTAAAAATTAATTAATAAAATTCTTTTTTTTTTTTTTTTTTTTCATATTACGGCTTCGTTGTTGATAAAAATTCATCACCAACGAAGTAACGGAAATCGCTAATGAGTTTACAAAATATAAGGTCATTTCTTAATTTTGTTAAATTGCACTGTACTTTCTTAACTATTGATGTTTTTAAAAATATAAGCTCATCTCGACGTTACACTCATCAAGAGCTTTCATTTGAGTACCCACATGCATTTTTGATATATTCTTCATATATATATATGAAATATATGAAAAATTGATGTGGGTACTCGAATGAAAAAGGTCTTGATGAGTGTAACATCGGGATGAGCTTATATCCTTAAAAATATCAATAGTTCACGAGATACAAGGTCATTTCTTAATAATATATCTAGAGATAGAGCATTTTTGAATGCAGTCTAATAATCAAAGGGAACAAATTTTATATTTTATGACCATATATATGAGACTAAAAAACATTTTATTACATCATTAGATTTAATTAATTCCGCACACGATCTCACTGATGTAAAAGATAATCTAAGTTTTTGTGACAACATTTTTACTTTTATTAAACAATTTTAATTTTTGAAATTAACTTTTTTTAAAGATGTAATTTATAACCTAAGAGCTTGATGATCGTTTTTATATAAACTTTGATCATCAAGGTTTTTACAATCCTTATTTATTATCTACTACAAAAAACACTCTCAATACTAACGTGCTTGTGGTTAAAGTCATAAAAAATGGGTAATATGTGGTTTTTATAAATTCATAAATAATAATGAGTCAAAATAAAATTAGTAAAATTATTTATTTATTAATGGCTTGTAAATAAACTTAAAAGCAAATTACTAGGTAATAAAATAAATAAAAAATCCATTTTGATAAAAGTAGTAGCAAATTTTTTTTTTAATACATTCTTAATGGAAATTTATCCACCATTTATATTTACAAAAAAATCAATATGATTTTAACACTAAAATAAACTATTTAAAATTAATTTACCTTATTATAATTATAATACTAAATATAAAAGAAATAAAATGCTATGTTTATATACAAAAGCTTACGAAAAGCAAAAAATACAATAATTACTTTTTTATGATATGCAATGATCAATAAAATAATTTTTGATGACATTTTTATATTCTAATTGTAAACAATTAATATGATCATTTGTTTTTTTTATTTTAATTTCCATAAAATATAATAATAAAATTAACAGTAATCAAGATAAAATACATTTGTCAGCTTCTTTTTGAGACTGTGATAGATTTTGTCCGCGTCTTTTTGCACATGCTACTGCATCGTTAGGTACGTAAGATATTCTCACACCACCGTACGCTCTTCTTGGTGGTAACGCGTAGGCTGTTGCTTCGTCTGAGCTACTAGACGAACTACATGTCGAACAACAACTTTCTTCGTCGTCATGTTTTGTAACGCGGGCAGCGTTTTCTGGAAACAAAAATTAAAATTGTTTATTAAATAATTTATCATAGAATTTTTTTTTTCAAATAAATTATTTAAAAAAATTGAAAAGCATCCAACAATTAAGAAATGACCTTGTATCTTGTGAACAATTAACATTTTTAAAGATATAAGCTCATCCTGATGTTACACTCATTGAGACTTTTCATTTGAGTACCCACATCAATTTTTCATATATTTTATATATTTATATATATTATATATATGTATATATGATAAATATATCAAAAATGCATGTGGGTACTCAAATGAAAGCTCTTGACGAGTGTAACATCGGGATGAGCTTATATTTTTAAAAATGTCAATAGTTAAGGAAGTACAGAGCAATTTTACAAATATCTTGCGAACTAATGACATTTTTAAAGATATAAGCTCATTCTGATATTACGCTTATCGAGACCTGTCATTTGAGTACCCACATGCATTTTTGATATATTTTTCATATATACATATACATATATAATATATATAAATATATGAAAAATTGATGTGGGTATTCAAATGAAAGCTCTCGATGAGTATAACATTGGGATGAGCTTATATCTTTAAAAAGGTCAATAGTTAATAAAGTACAAAGAAATTTAATAAATATCCTGTGAACTATTGACATTTTTCAAGATCTGAGCTCACCTCAACATCACACTCATCGAGACCTTTCATTTGAGTACCTACATCAATTTTTCATATATTTATATATATTAGGGTGTGCCAAAATGTAACTTCCTTGATGGACCTCTTAAAATTGGAATTTTGAGTTCCGCTTTTAACAGGAGCTGTGTATGGGCATTTCCTGACAAATTTTGGGCGTACAGGATTTATTTGATTTTTATAGAATTTTTTATCAGGAGTTTCGTTCGGCCATTTTTTCTGGAATTTAAAAATTTCAAAATTTAGCCGAACAAAACTCCTGTTAAAAAATTCTATAAAAATCAAATATCTATTACGCCCAAAATTTGTCAGGAAATGCCTAGATTCCCAACTATATATAGCCACTCGTCACGAAATCTCGAGAACCATAAGACTTAGAATCGTGAAACTAGGTAGAAATATTACTTTTGTTATGTAGAGGTAAGCTATGTAGCCCTAGAGCGTTCGAATTTTGTTTACTTGCTCTGTTTTTTCTTTATTATTCACATTTTCTAAAATATAAGCTCTACTGATATTGTGCTGATCGAGATTTTTCATTTGAGTATACATTAGGGTGTGCCAAAATGTATCTTCCTTGATGGACCTTTTAAAATTGGAATTTTGAGTTCCGCTTTTAACAGGAGTTGTGTTTGGGCATTTCCTGTCATATTTTGAGCGTAAAGGATTTATTTGATTTTTATAGAATTTTTTATCAGGAGTTTCGTTCGGCCATTTTTTCTGGAATTTAAAAATTTCAAAATTTAGCCGAACAAAACTCCTGTTAAAAAATTCTATAAAAATCAAATAAATCCTTTACGCTCAAAATATGACAGGAAATGCCCAACCACAACTCCTGTTAAAAGCGGAACTCTAAATTCCAATTTTAAAAGGTCCATCAAGGAAGATACATTTTGGCACACCCTAATATATATTATATATATATATGTATATATGAAAAATATATCAAAAATGCATGTGGGTGCTCAAATGAAAGCTCTTGACGAGTATAGCATCGGGATGGGCTTATATCTTTAAAAACGTCAATATTTAAGAAAGTACAGTGCAATTTAACAAAACGCATTATTTAATAAAGTTAAATAAATAAAAAAAAATATAATTTACCCCACGAAGTGCTGGCAACTTGTTCAGGCTGCAAACTACGCGACCGAGGAACATGAAGTTTAGACGGCGAAGATGATGAGCAGGGGTTGTTTGTGAGTGGCATCGTAGACGTAGACAGAGCTTGGGCTTCGTCTCCTTCGAATCTAACTCGCCTGGATGTGGGTGTGGGTGGGTCTGTTATTGGAGCAGGATTACCACAAAGGTCCGTGCTGTCAGTTGAGATGTTTGGTATTAAATGAGGGAGAGGCGGTGGCGACGGCGGTGGAGGCGTTTGTGGTGAAATCGTCGTCGAATGTTGAGTTAATAGATGAGGAGGTGGAGGTAGCTCTGGCATACTTGACGCATGAGTTGGCGTTGAGTTTTGTATACATCGTAATGGTTCACGATCTCTTGCTTGCATTAGCCTGTTTGAATTATAATCATTAGTAAAACATGTCATTTATCTAAACAATATATATTTATATATAACAGCTAAAGATTACTTTTTATTTATATAATTTATATGATAAAAAATCAAACTTAATTTCTGCTTTTAAGAAATTTTATATCATTTTATAAAATAGTTAATTTATAATGATAAATTTTAAATTTAAAAAAATTTGAAGATTTTTGTAACAAGAAATTAATTTGTTAAAAATTTTCTATTTAATTTTTTCAGCTAAAAAATAAAATAGTAGAAAATTTTTAAAAATAAATTTTTAAATAAAGTCAAAAATTTTAATTAAATTAATTTTTTATTACAAAAATTTCCATATTTAAAAAAAAACAATTTTTTTTGTACCTAAAAAATTTAATTAAATATTAAATGTTAATCAATATAATTAATAGAATAGATAAAATTTTTTTGACTGGAATATTTTTATTTTAAAAGAGGTTTTTTTTAGTTAAATTAAATATTTAATTAATTTTTTTTAATATCAAACTTTTGGATTTCTTAATAGTTATTTAGTTTTATAATTTTTTTTCCATCAAATTTATAAATAAAATAATTGCCAATTGATCTTGTGATAATAAAATAATTTTTTTAATTTATTTAAAAAATATCCAAGCTAAATATTAATTAAGAATATAAAAAAAATCATTGAGTAAATTTTTTAAAATGTGATTAATAATTTTAAGTAGACAAAAAATGATCTACCTTCCAAGTTCACTCGGATTTGTTTCTTCCGTGTGAGTATTACGCTCTTGTAAAAGCCTTTCAAGATTACGTTCTAAAATAACTCTGTCCAAGCCAGCAGATCGTGACCCAGCATTTGGAAGGCTTTCACAAGTAAAATCAAAGGTAGAAATCTGCGTGGGAGTTGTTGCAAGTGACGTAGAGCCTTGGTAATGTTTTCTTGATACTCTAGGAGAATTTCTAGCTGAGCCAGAGGTATGTGCAATGGTATGATGCCTCGTTGTTGATAGTGGCGGGCTAGAAGATCCCTCACTCGGCGTCGGCGGAGGCAGTTTCCTGTTTTGTCTGAAATAAGACACCATTAAGTTAAAAAAATAAATTTTGTGAGAAGAAAAACAAACTGGGTTTGAAGAAAACTCACTTGGGAAATGAAGGAGGCGGCGGAGCTATTGGAGGCCCGGCTGACGAGTCGCTTGGGGTCGTAGGTGGCTCACCCTTGCTGCAGGCGATGCTGCAATAAATTGCGCCTCTTCGCGGAAGAAAAGGTCGCCCAAGAAGAGACGTTCGGCAGGTAGCGCAGCAAAAACACGCCTCGGTAGCGTGCCAGTGTTGACCCTCGTGCGACATTTGACCCTGGTCTACTCCGATTGGCTCGCCGCAGCTGTCACAATATTCCGCGAAAGACGCGTCGAAACAATGCAGACAGTACGGTCGTCCTTCTCGCATTACGTATCGTTGGCCACCAAGCTGCAAATTGAAAAAATTTTACAATTGTTGGTTTTTTTAAAGATACAAGGTAATTTTTTAATTATGTTAAATTGCACTGTACTTTCTTAACTATTGACGTTTTTTAAGAAATAAGCTCATACCGATGTTACACTTATCGAGAGCTTTCATTTGAGTACCCGCATGCATTTTTAATATATTTTTCATATATACATATATATAATATATATAAATATATAAAATATATGAAAAATTGATGTGGGTATTCAAATGAAAGGTCTTGATGAGGGTAACATCGGAATGAATTTATATGTCTAAAAATGTCAATAGTTCACAAGATATTTATTAAATTGCACTGTAACTTTCTTAACTATTGATGTTTTTTAAAATATAAGCTCATCCCGACATTATACTCATCAAAAGCTTTCATTTGAGTACCCACATACATTTTTGATATATTTATCATATATACATATATATAAATATATAAAATATATCAAAAATGCATGTGGGTACTCAAATAAAA